CTGCTCACCTCCCTCACCCTCCCCTGACAGGGCCTCTCCCCTGCGCTCCTCACCTCCCTCACCCTCCCCTGACAGGGCCTCTCCCCTGCACTCCTCACCTCCTGAGATCCTCCTAGCTGCTGACCTCCCCCTGTCCCAATCTCGAAGGACCTCTTTCCAGCTGTCGTTCCTGTTCGGGTCTCAGCTGCTCTCCCAGGGATCTGCCTTCATCCCCGCCCCAAACCCAACCGCAAACCCTGGGGAACAAGAGCTTCTTCGGTGTCAGTTAGTGAGCAATGGACACCAGCTTCCACATCCTGAAGCAGACGCAGCCGTCTGGACGGTGGGGAGTGGAGCAGAGGGGCTGCCACGGCCCAGCCTACGGGGCCTGAGCATCAGTGGGATGTGGATGGCTTGGCCCCAGCCGACCCAACACTGGGCGGTCAGCACAGTCCCCACGCTGCCCAGCATCGGCTGCAGCCCTGGAGCAGCCCCGGGTCTCCCACCGCACCTGCCCTGAGTGAGCTGGACGGGGCCACAGGCCGGCGTCCACTGGCAGGTCCTCTGGGTCATCTGCAGCTCTCTGCAAGGCCCCATGACCCAGGGCCAGCACCATGCTGGGAAAGTCCAGCACATGGCCCACCCTGAAGGGAATCTACCAGGGCTGCAGGCCCAGAGCTGGCCTAGGGCAACCCCTACTTCCTGTTCATGAAACGCCCCCCTCCCCTGCCCACTGGGCTCTGCAGAGCTGCAGGAACAGAGGGGACCCAGAGCTCGGGGCACCTAGGGCACAGGGAAACAATTGCCGGGGGCGGGGGTGTGGGGATGGGGGCTTCCCCACATGGACCTTTCCGGTCCCTCACAGGTGGGGCTCACCTGCCCTTCCATGAGGCAGAAGAGGCCTTTGGAGCCCCAGGTAGAGCCTGGTCGCCACCCGGTGTGAGGAAGCCCAGGGTTTGCGGGGAGCTCGTGCCCGCCATGGCTGTATCACACCATCAGGAACTGGGGGTCAGGCCTGGGCACTGCAAATGTCTCCTAAAACCCTGCTCCTGCAGGACAGCAGCTGGCTTGATTGCAACAAAATTAAAATATGACAAAAATAAAATAAAGCAAGAAAAAAGCAGCAGACAGTTTTCAAAAGGACCAAAGAAAAAACACCAGAACACAAGGGCAGATTCTGATTTCAGCCGTGAAGGTGGCAGGATCTGCTCCTGGCTGGTCACACACACCCAAACATTCAATGGAAAACCTGTGGGTCCCAGAGGGGAGAGACGCCATGAAAGAACGGAGGCTCCGCAGGGACGTGTGTCTCCCCGACAGGCACAGGCAGCAAGACCCACTCTCCAGGCAAGGCCGCCTCCCGCCCCTGCTGGCCCCATGTGAGTCAGCACGGGAGTGGTGTGGCAGCTTCCATTCCTGGAACATCCTTTCTCCAAGTGAGCACTGAGCAGACGATGTCAGCTGTTATTTCCATTTGCAAATGTACCACGTTTTCAAAGGGGAGAAAATGTCTCTCATCTGCACACCGACCACAGACTCTACGGAGATGTCAGGTCCCTGTGGGACAATGGCTTCCTCATCACATGGGTGCTAAGCACACACACACACACGGGCACAAAACACGTGCACATGCACATGTGCACACACATGCCCCCACACACAAGCACAACATACATGTACACATGCACAGACACGCAGACACACATGCACACGCAATGCACACACACACGCACACACACGCTGCTCTCCCTGTGGAGGGACTTGGATGCCAGCTACAGAAACACTCGTTCCATGCTGGGGGCCTCACCACGAGGCCCTAGGACACAGGCCCTAGGACAGAGGTCCCCAGCTCTCCCGGCTGCCCCAGGTCCACCCCTGACCCAGTACTTCAGCCCCAGGTCGGACCACCCACACCCTCGTCCCACACCCTCGTCCCCACCACCCGGGCCTCCAGTCTGGCTTCCTCAACCCCCCTCCAACCGACAACCAAACGCACCTTGGAACCGGAATTTCAGTCCTCAGCTCAGCCCTTGCCGTGGGTCCGAGCACGTGAGCAGCTCCGCTGTTCAGGCTGGCCATCCCACCCGACACTGACCTCCCCGCCAGCTCCTGAAGCCAAGCCTGGCCACCGTCATGCCCATGGCCACATCGCCCTCCTCACCAAGAGCCCAGAGGGCCTCGCCCCATGCGCCCGGTCCTCAGAGAGGCCTCTGGTGCCTCCCTACAGGCATGCATGCTTGGCCACAGGCCCCAGGCAGTCCTGCCAGGAAGACCTGCAAGGGTAGCGTCTCGTCTCTTCACAGTGACATCTGCAGCACCCGATCCAGAGCAAAGCACAGCGCCACGCTCCATAAATACCTGCCCCATATTAGAAGAGGGGTGGTGAGAGGGTCTGTGCCTCAACCTGGCAGTGCCAGCCCGAAACCCTCTGACTGGTCATCTCCCCCAGCCCAGAGCCCACTCTCTGTACAGAGTCACCTTGCAAAAGCTTCAGACCAGTCACCTTCCCCAGCCCCTCAAGCAGCCTTGCCACCTGTCTGGCCCCACGTAGCCTTACACTTCACAGACTGGACCTGCTGAAAAGCACACCCAGCCTCGTTGCCAGCTCTCCATGGCCCCACCAGGGATGCTGAACCAGCCCCAGAGGGAGCCCCCAAGTTCTCTGAACCCCACGGGGAGTGGGCAGGGAGCCGGAATGTGAACAGTGAGCCCGAGGAGGATCTGGCCAGGTTCACCAGGAGGCAGGCAGTGGACTGACTGTAGCACAGAAATGTGGAGCCTGGCATAGACGGCAGAGCCCAGAGACCCAGTGACAGCCCAGGCCTGAGCTCCCCACAGACAAACCAGACTCCACATGGGAACACCAAAGCAAAAAGGCGCCTTATTGCTAAGTCATGAATGCAAAAGAACATGCTTCAGTGGTTCTTACCTGGTAAAATTCCCGAAGCCAGTTCTTCTGCAGGTTGTCTGGCTGTAAATTAAGAAGAAAAAGAAAAGCCAGTCAGACCCATGGCACAGCCCAAACAGAGCCAGGAGAAGCTCCTATGAAGATGACGTGGGGTGGCCTCATAGCAGAAGCCAGGGAGCCCAATCCGGACGGGAAACCCAGTCCCACGGGAGACCCAGCTCCATCCCTACGGGAAAGCCAGTCCCATGGGGGACCCAGCTCCAACCACAAGGGAAACCCAGTCCCACGGGAGACCCAGCTCCATCCCCACGGGAAACCCAGTCCCACGGGAGACCCAGCTCCATCCCTATGGGAAACCCAGTCCCACGGGGGACCCAGCTCCATCTCCATGGGAAACCCAGTCCCACGGGGGACCCAGCTCCATCCACAAGGGAAATCCAGTCCCACGGGGGACCCAGCTCCATCCCCACGGGAAACCAAGTCCCACGGGGGACCCAGCTCCATCCCCACGGGAAACCAAGTCCCACGGGAAACGAAGTCCCACGGGGGACCCAGCTCCATCTCCACGGGAAACCCAGTCCCAGGGGAACCCAGCTCCATCCCCACGGGAAACCCAGTCCCACGGGTGACCCACCTCCATCCCCACGGGAAACCCAGTCCCACGGGGGACCCAGCTCCATCTCCACGGGAAACCCAGTCCCATGGGGGACCCAGCTCCATCTCCATGGGAAACCCAGTCCCACGGGGGACCCACCTCCATCCCCACGGGAAACCCAGTCCCACCGGGGACCCAGCTCCATCTCCACGGGAAACCCAGTCCCATGGGGGACCCAGCTCCATCTACAAGGGTAACCCAGTCCCACGGGGACCCAGCTCCATCCACATGGGAAACCAAGTCCCACAGGGGACCCAGCTCCACATGGGGGGCTCTGCTCTGAAGGCTGTTGCAGGGATGTGGCGCACAACGTGGTCTGTCCTAGTAAAGCCAGGGCAGAGTCCCGGAACCCCACACGGGTGGCGAGGAGGGGAAGGCCCTGTGTTGCTCCAGCCTCCACGCCTCCCAGGGAAGAGATGGCTTAGCCAGTAACCTGGCTCCAACAAGCAAGACGGTGGCACCTTTTCACACCTGCCCCTGCCTGGGCCAAAGCCCCTTCATGGGGAACTAGACGAACCCGTGCTTTGTGGAGCATGAAACGTCACGCTCACACATGGGCATTTCTGTGTGTCTGGGGTGGAGAGGAGAGTGACAGGAAGGGGCTTTTACAGGGTCAGTCACAATCGTCAGGACCTTCAGGAAGCACTTGCTACAGCTGTCAACAGAAACCCTACCCCACGCCACATGCATGCACACGCACACACACACACATGCACACACGCCAGGAAACTCCAGCCCTGCCACAGAGACCCAGGCCCCAGGAAGCTCCTGGACAGACGGAGGCAGGTGCAGGCCTGAAACTGCTGCTGCCTGAGGAGAAAGGACAGCCCAGCCGCTCTCCCGCCCTGACGGGGGCTCCTGCGCGCTGCACCGCGCGGGCAGTGGGGAGGCCCCCGGCTGAGGCACCAGGCCAAGCACTCGCCTGTGTGGCTCGAGCCACCCATGCTCAGGAAGCACCCGAGCTCCAACAACGCCCACCGTGGGGGCAGAGTCAGCGTCTAACAGGGTCCAGTTTCCATTTCTCCAGGAAACTAAGATCTAGAGATGCGTCACACAACAACGTGAGTGTCCTCAGCACTACGGAACTGCACACTCCAAAGTGGTTAAGCTAGTAAATGTAAAGTTGTGGGTTTTTGCCACAATTAAAACAATAAACGAGACCCTGCCCCCGCTCCTATTGGGACTAAAGCCCCTGCCCCGGTCTCAGACTCTGTGGCTGTGGGCATGGCACCAAGGCATGCAGGCCGCCCGTGCAGCTGGGTGGACTCCACACCCACGCAAACACAACAGCATCACAAGGCTGGCCACACGCCAGGCATGCTCCTCCCTTCACTGGCTGACAGGTCTAAGAACCCTAAAAAGCAGAACACTGAATTTTAGATAAATGAATGAAGAAAAAAAACATGACAAAGAAACAAGGACCACAGACTACAGGACGGAGCTGAGAACACCTGGCTCCAGTCTTCAAGGACACACAACCCCGGCACACACACACACAAAGGGACAGAACTGCACACTGCGGCGCCGAGGCCCCCCGTACCCTCCATGTCCAGAGACCTCCTCATGGGACCCACGTAACCACCTCAGCAGAAGGGAAAGCCATCAATCCACACCGCCCAGCGGGGGGGAGGAGGCCATCAGCCCACGCCACTGTCCCACTACTGAGGACCCTCAGACCACACGGATGCCTCCCTCAGCCCCAGCTCCTACCAGCAAGTCCCCGTTGAGGGTCCCAGCCCCACATCCAGCTGCAGCTGCATGTCCAGCAGCCCCGCCCAGGAGCCGCCCTAAACACCAAAGGCACAAATGCAACAGCAGACACCCGGACACACTGTTCACGTGAGCACCCTGCCCCAGCACCACACGCTCCGGCCCAGTTCACGGGTCACAACCTCATTTAAATCATGGACATGGCTTCCCCAAACTTTGACTATGGATCCACTGAGGTTCTTAAGCCCAGACAGTCCCAGAACAGGGCTCGAAACATGGATATCCGTGTTTGTTGACTGCGTATGAGGAGGTACTCAGAGGCTGTGAAACAGTGAGACCAAAAGTCCAAGTGAAAGATGAGGCCAAATACACTCCCAAGAAGGAAGAGAAGAAACATGCTGAAAAGACAAGGCCCTCAAGGCCTTCAGCTCTTCTCTTTGACACACACCCCGCCACTAGTCGGGGTCACTGTGATGGCCGCTGTGCCCACAAGGCCCTGCCCAGGGGCCATTTTCTGGCCCACGTGGCACTGCTGCATGTGCCTGGCTGACCCTGGCTTGGGAGCTCCCAGGGCCTCCTGGGCCCATCCCACCACCCCAACAGCCTCCCTTGGCCTCAGTGACACTGTGTCACTGCCCTGACCTCCCCTAGGGGATCCTCACCCTCCTAAGCCCCAGCCCTTCCCCACTCCCTCCTGGAGACCCACACCCTCCCCATCCCCTTCCCAGCTCCCTCCTAGGGGATCCACACCCTCCCATCCCTAGCCCCTTCCCAGCTCCCTCCTAGGGGATCCACACCCTCCCATCCCCAGCCCCTTCCCAGCTCCCTCCTAGGGACCCACACCCTCCCATCCCCTTCCCAGCTCTCTCCTGGGGACCCACACCCTCCCCATCCCCTTCCCAGCTCCCTCCTAGGGGATCCACACCCTCCTCCCCACCTCAGTCCCTTCCTCCCTCCCTCCTAGGGGATCCATGCACTCCCCCTTCCCAGCCCCTTCCTGGCTCCCTCCTAGGGGATCCACACCCTCCCCATCCCCAGCCCCTTCCCAGCTCCCTCCTCAGGAATATCCCTGCTCTGTCCTCACGTCTTTCCAGTCTACACTCCAAAGGCAGCCAGGGTGATCCTCAGAAAACACAAGCAGATCCACCTCCAGGGCCCTCCTGCCCTCTCACGGTAAAGGGCAAAGGCCTTCCAGGTCTGCGCAGCCAGGAGGCCCTGAGCCCTGCCCTTCCCTCCACTTGCTTTGCTCTGAGTCTCAGATGTGTGGTCCTCGGGCCCCATGGCCTCTGCCTCTCTCTGCAGATTCGCAGTGGCCCCCACGCCTTCCCCGCTCGCAGGTCTGGTCAAATACCGTCTCCTCCAATTTTCCCTGGGTGACTGAGCCTCCCCAGCCCAACAGGAGACCCTAACCCAGCGTTTCTCCATTTCGAGCAGTTAGCCTGCAGCACACTCCTTCCCGGTCTTCCCTCCGTCTGGGACTATCTCCAGGAAAAAGACATTTCCCTCTGCAGCTCCAAAGCCCACCGTGTGCAGCAGGATAGCTCCAGGAGCTGATAATGACAAGAAAACCTTTTCAAGCACTGTCGAGTTCTGGGCAAAGACGCACAAGAAAGATTAAGACGCCCCTTCCCCCCACACCTCCCCGAGTAACAAAAGGGGGGAAGAGGAAGAGAAGGATGCTCCTCCAGGGGCAACAAAACAGGGTCCAACTCCATCCCTGCTCCTGGGGATGCAGCAGTCATGGGAAGGGAGGATGTTTCCAGGACAGGCGTCGGAGAGGGGGTCCTGCCGTGCAGGACGGGGTGGAGAGCCCACGGGAACCTGCGCGTCCGTCCTGACAAAGGGACTCGGAAAACAAGACTGAAAACGTATCCAGAAACAAATAACAGAACAAAAGAATCCCTGAAAATAAGAGAAAACAGACCAAGCCTGGAAAGAGAATGGGAATCCTTACTTAAAAACAGGTGAAAAAGATCAGCAGCAAAACCTAAACACTGAAAAACAGAATCCCCAACGTGCCGGGCAGAACTCAGGTGACACCGCAGAGCCCAGAATTCTGAAGGGAAAGACTACGGTGACCCACATGCTTCCACGCAGCACAGAACCAAGGGCGGAACAGGGAGGCAGGGAAAGGCGGAGCAGAGCGTGTCTGTTACAAACTAACGAAACGCAAGAATCAGAACCTACTAAGTCAGCAGGTGGGTAAGAACAGCAATACCCTCCAAGGCAAAGCATGCACAAACCTGCTCTAAAATTAAAACATGTTGTTAAACTCTACATTCTTAAAGTTTAAAAAAGTTTTCTTATGCTTAGAAGAATTTTAGAGGTGTATCTCTTGCACCCAGAAGTATTTATCTCAACTTTAGAAGTCCCTTGAGCTTCCCTTCAGTGTCTGTCTCTCCTCACAATTTGAGCAGGATTGAATGTAACTGGTGGAGATGAAGACCGCAGCTGCTGTCAGCACCACCCGCCCTCCTCCCTCCTGGCAGGAGCTCTGCACACTGGGAGGCGTGTACCCCACGTGGACAAGGCTTCTTTCTGGGCAGTGGAGTTGGAGTAATCTGTATTTTTGATAATGCATATTCTTAAGGGACGGGAGAAACAGACCTTATGAAATAACTCCATTTTAGTGGGCAGCACTAAAAAACTGGGATCGATCCTTAACATGTTCAGTATATAGCCCCTAACACAGAACATC